TTTTTTTTTTTTTTTTTTTTTTTTTTTTAGGTGACTATGACAAAATTCAGAAATCGACTTAGAGAACCCCCCCCTCAAACCTCTACGCCTCCCTCCGGCAAGACTAACTGCAACAGAGCCACCATCTCTGCTGCTGCTGTGCCATACTCGCATCCTACCAGCTAGCCCCCTCACTGATAGGACGCGTGATATCCCCCCATAACGACCATTTCGTCAAAATGGACATTTTTTATTTTTTGAACGTAATTGAAACCGAGTTTTTTGGCCGAAAAATCGTCAAAATTGGGTCCAGCGTTTTACAAACGCTGGACCCCCTGGCTGTACATGGACCTAACTTGAGACCAGGCACCTCCAGGCAGGACTGCCTGGAGGTACCTGGTTTCAAGCTAGGTCCATGTACAGCCAGGGGGTCCAGCGTTTGACAAACGCCCGACCCTCAGGAACACCAAATTTTGACGAGTTTTCGGCCAAAAAACTGGGTTTCAATTTCGTTCAAAAAGTAAAAGATGTCCATTTTGACGAAATGGTAGTTCCATCTTCTTCTCCCACCCACCCTTTTTTTTTTTTTTTTTACTTTTTTTTTTTTTTTGAAAACAACCCGATTGAATGCTAGAGGTGCTGATAGGAGCAGACACCGCTAGCACACTCTGGGAGGCTCCATCTATTGGTGGGGAACAACACCTGCTGGAAATCGGGTCCAGCGTCCATGTACACAGAAGTTTGTCATAATACGTGCCATGTGTCACAGCCTAACTTAAAGGATCCTAGTCAGCTGATATGTGGACACGTAAGCACCCAGTTGTCAACGCGATGAGCAGCATCAATCACTGTCTGCCCATCACAATGTAAGGAAATCATGTCCCTATTCAGACGCCCTCATCGTATCTTCTACAAAAACCTTGCAGCGCCAGGAGGGGGGGGGTAGCCAGAATAGAGAATTAGAGAATCTAATACAACGAATCCGACTTTCCAGAGAATGCCTTAAACCACCTGGACTGCCCCAAGGGCTTAACACCGCTGTTCCTCCTATGGAGCTGCGTGGTGAATTCACAACACAACCGAACCAGAATTCACCTCATGGCAACACGTCACATCTGCCGGAATCGCAAGTTATGCATGCCCAAATTCAAGTTATCAATCGCTCGCCGCGAAAATAGAAGATGCAATTAAAGTGCCGCCAGAGCATGAGTTTGTACCCCGCCCCGAAGTACTGTCCTACCACCCAAAGTTGAGCMAGCCAGAAGCCCAATAGCCACTTGGCGAAACCCTATTGGGCTATACAACAGAAATCGACAGCGCCACGTGGGACGAAGCCAGACATCCCATTTGCAGTGCATAACGACTCATACCCCTTTGGCACGTGGCCAGAGCTACCCTACTAGTACGTGGCAGCTGGCAGATGCGATAAGAGAATCCAGTGTCTAACCCACCCCCACGCGCACCCTTCCCATCCCTAACTGTCCTCCACACCCTTCCGATCTGCTGAACAGACCATTCAAACAGCCCCTTCGCACTCCCCTCAGATCGTCAACACGGTCGCAAGGAGGCAAGGACAGTCGGGGAGAGAAGAAGGGGTAGACAAGAAAGGAGACCCCTACCACACTTACCAAACCGTCGTTATTGATGTTGTTTATGTCGTTGCCGTTGTCGCTGTTAGTGTCGTTGTTGTTGTCACTGTTGTCATTGTCACAATCCGGCGTGCACGAGCTGACCATCTCCTCGCTTGCAGCAGTGTCATGCTCTACAGTCACGGTGTTGCCGGTGCACACGATCCTTGCGTCGTGATTGCTGTTATTGTTGTTGTTGTTATTGTTGTTGTTGTTGTTGTTGTTGTTGTTGTTGTTGACGTCGTTGTCGGACAAGCCCAGGCTCACGATCCGTGTGTCTGTACCCCGTACCTGCACGAACATGTTGTTATTGTTTGCATCATTATCAGCAGCGTGGGTATTATTAACACCAGTTTGACCCTCCTCCAGCTCGTCACTGCCAGCGGTGCACGCATTGGTATAACCGTCCTCCTCCGTCTCGAACAAATGCAGGTACCACTCCTCCTCCAGCGCTGCGAACACATCTTGCCCCTCCTCGAAGATGTCATCGCAACACCGCTTCAGAGACTCCTGTTGATCATCCGTTTGCAAAGGTGGCCCCTCCTGCAACTCCCAGACAATCTGCAACATGTTCCCCATCACTTCCCGATACGGCGGACGCGATGAAGCTGCCCCCCCCAACAGCCTCAAATCGACCTCCCAGTTGTGATCGCAGTGCCTCCACCATCACTAGTAAAAGAGGACGAGCTGCTTGAAGGAATATGAGCCACTCAGTAGCCCCTCGCTGCTTGTCCCCCTACGAAGCCATTGGTATGCACGAACCATGGTAGAATTCACGCCGACAATCTCCCACGCTCCCTACCAATCCCACCGGATGGGACTGCCATGTCAGCGTCACCGCTAACCTGAGGCAGGACGCGCAGCTCAAGCTCCTCGCGTTGCCGGGCCCTGCCGGCTGCGACCACGCAGAGTGTTAGCGCTCCTCAGTGCTCCAGCATCGCCGTTCACACTTGTACCGTTGTTTTTCTTCTGTCATGTGGCGATGAACAAATGTTTGGCAGCCGAGTGGCGAGGCCTTTTTTTCTACTGAGCTCTGGGGGTAATCCCGATTATTTACGAGGGTCATGTCTGGCTGAAATTGGGGTCCCATATATGCAGGAGAAGGTCCTCCTGTGAGTATGCCCTGAGCAACCAACCTACCCACCTATCCACCTGCCGTGGTGAGGTGCCACTACCGTCTTCCGCCGAACACAACGCACCCTCATTTTGACTGTATCGGGCCGGAAACATGCCTTGCATACGTTCATTTTCAGGGTGCGTTTTGTTTAAGACTGTAGCAGGGACGATTGGATTTTACCTCTGCATCTGGATGCGATTGTTGGAGAGGTGGTGCATAAAATGGCTATTGATCAGCTTCTCTGCATATCTGGCTGAAACCCGTCCAGATTGAATTTCAGGCGTTCAGTCCAATCCTCTTTGCTGGTGGGACCTTGCTCCCGGTACTGTTCATCGCCTTCCTATACCAGATATACCAGATAGCCTACAGGGGGGCCCGCCGCATCCGAGTCGGCTGCTTCGTTCCGTCATCTGGATTCGCAGGGATTGCCTTTGCCGACCTCTTTCTCTTTTCTCTAGCATTATGGTCTTCATCTGATGTAAGCAGGACTCGAACCCATGATCGGTTTACTCGAACATATGATCTTCTTATATTTTCCTGGAAAAAGAAAAAAACATTATCATAAAGATCTGGTTGAATCCATGATCATTTAGAGTTGTGCACCGTTCAGCCAGATGGGCTCGCTTGTTCTTTTTGTTTGAGGGTTAGCTTATATACTTTTTTTTTTCTTTTTTCTTTTTTTTTTAGGGATGATCACAACTGTCTATATTCTTCTCTCAACTTCTGTTTGTTTTACCTTCCACTACCTACTCCTAAGACTATGTAGAGGGGACCCCTGCAAGCATAGTTTTCCTCTCTCTGTGAAGGGGAGATTTCATGTTGCCCCTTGCCCCTAATGGTTAGGGTATAGGGTTGGGG